GACTTAGCATCCGCTAGTTGCCTCCCAGTCAACCGCTTGTTTGCCCCCCAGTCAACTCCAAAAAGTCACGTAATCGATAGCCAAGCAATTGCATGACAGAATGGCAGATATCCTTTAACAACTGGATAGCATGTCCGTGTATGGCAATAACATAATTTTTGTAGCATGTAAGACCAACATGGTTGATGCGACATGATCATCATTTTACATGCATAATATATATTAAAGTAAGGACCTCGTGGCCTAATGGATAAGGCATCTGACTTCGAATCAGGGGATTCCAGGTTCGAGTCCTGGCGGGGTCGTTTATTCATTTTGTTCCATTTTAACAAATTTTCATAGCGTATCCTTTGACCAAATGGTCGCAGTGATCTCAATAGTGACATTATCTTATTCGTTGTGTGACAACGTCTTCCCAATTGAAGGTGACCATCCTCTAGGAGAATGAACAGCCGGTTTTGAAACTCATCGGGATATCATCGTTATTGCTTTCGTATCCTTTGTGATACTCATGAATTTTTCGAAGAGAAAAACAATAGAAAATGAAACTTCTGGAGTTTTGTTACTCTGAATTGGGAAAACATCGTCAGAACACGAATAAGATCTATTGGTTTGCACACCGATAGAACGCAGAAATAAGCCCTTCTACGTTTCTTTTAACTTTTGTTATGAGCAAGCCAGCAAAAATCGATCAACGCCTTTAGACAGAGCCTCAAATTTACCAAATCGCAAAGTTAAAGTGTGATAAGTTAGAAAATGGCGAAGATAGAGCTTAGTAAAGTTGCAAAATTTTGCAGACGTTTGTATGATGGGGGCAAGTTTTTCTCTTGTACAGATAACAACAACATTAATATTGGCACAAAAAAATAGTAACCCCCCTCCTCAAAGACTTGCGAAAAGTTTCGTGAGTACCCTCCCCTTTTTGGTTGCTTGAAATATAATGACCCTCCCCCCATCTACACTATAGCGCCTTTTAACATTAAAATGATCAAAAAATACCGAAATAGACACTATGCATACGATGATACAGACGCTTTTGACTGAAGGATGTTATATGAACAAATCAAGTGAGTGGAAGGAAGTTGCGTGCATACTTCATTTCCCCTTCACCACCCCCCTCATATGACAAATGTTCATTAGTTTGTTATTCTGATTACCAAAGAAAAAATATCGATAATTTTTTTTGGAATCCAAGAGTGAACTGGATAAAATCACAAATTGACAAAAAAAGGAGATAAATAGAAAGAAAGAATGAATAAGAATGATAAATTGAAGGCTTTACTAGCAATCAATGTGAACATGTGACAACTAGTACTGCGCATGCGTACCCAAGTCACAAGACAACATGGCCGCCATGGCGGAATTGCAGTAGGCTTTAGAAGTACAACATGGATTCAGGTCACTGAACGGCGCTTAACACCCCTAAAAACTCAACAGACGCCACGAGCATAATCAATACAAGATGGCTAACGTGTGGGGTAACGAGGATTTGGCGTGCTACTTCACTACGAAGCATTCTTGGAGGGGAAAGTAAGTAAAACTTTGCTGGCATATCTTGACACCTTTGCTTGGTGTCACGTTGATCTTTACTCTTCACCAGTTCTTTAATGACTAAATATTCCTAACCAAACGGTGCTTAATCTTTCCTTTTTCTAGATACAAACGTATATTTTCTGTGGGAACTAAAGCTATAACTACKTACAACCCATCCAATCTTGAAGTCACGAATCAGGTGATATGTTTTAACTTACCACCATGTAAAACGAAACTGCTTGTTTTAAAAGTTAAATATAAGACTTTGTTTAGACACTTTCACTATCTTTTTTGAAATTAAGTCTTTATTAAAGATGATTTCAGGATATTTTTTGAGGAAATTTGATTATAAAGTCGAGAACAATATTTATATAATAAATCTGAAGGGGAAGAAGCCTTACTAGATAAAACTTTTGTTGCTCTCTATACGTTAAGTATGATTTTTTTTAAACACGAGATCGTAAGACAATAAACAAATGTTATTTGGTGTTCTATAGGCGTGAAAATAGACAGGAATCTATACAGATCGTAGAGATTAACAGTGTACATAAAATATTACTTTTTTGGGACAGTTTAATATTCATAGGCAAACGTGTACTGTATGTACATTATTGTCTATATTAAAGGTTAATGTATTAAGTCTAAACATCTTGGACACCTTGAATATGGTGAAGTACCAGTGGCGTAGCTGTAAGAAGGCTCACCTCTCACCAATGCAACCTTGTCATACTTGAGTTGAGTTTGCATGTTGTCGTTAATCTTCCTTGCTTCGAGGGTTTTTTCTCTGGGATCTTTGGTTTTCKTCCCTACTCTGCAAAAATCAACATTCCTAAATTTCAATTCCATCTTAGGAGATATTCTCGACATCGTTACCCTCTTATATACCCTTTTGTATTGTATTACCAGAAGATATAGAAATATAGATAAGTCATAGTGCTTGGGAACGAGGTTATTCCGGGCAAAAGACCGTTGGAATAAAATTCAGAAAAATTAATTTCCGACCTCGCTGGGAATCAAACCCACGACCTTCGGAATCGTACTACCGATGCTCTACCAGCTGAGCTAGAGGTCAGACTGAGAGCAGGCCGTGGTGAAATAGATGTTAGGTCGCGTATTACCAATAAATTGGTTATAATATTATCTTGACAGATACCAACAAGTTAGCTCTTGATTATTTTTTATTAAAGCTTTATATTATTTCACAATAGCAGATACTAGAATCATGCTCTGTTGCCTTCAAACRATTGTTGCATTTTGGTCAGTTTCTATATGATTTTTCGTATATCGACTTGYAACAGTTGTTAACAGTTCCGAGGACTGAAAAAATTGAAAAAGGCCAATAGGCCAATTATTTCAATTATTTCCAAGTTGGACAGAYATGTAGTCATATTKCAGATTAATTATATCAAAGTTCCGTGTCTACCATATTATTGTTTTTTACACTAAAGAGGTCTTCAAAAAGATCCCAATTTACAACTTCCTCTGCCATCTTGAAAAAAATTACAAGACAAAAAAAAGGAAACAAGGCCAGCTGGCAAGCGAAAGTCATGCACTGCTTGGTTCAAAGTCAATTTCTATTGTTTTACCTGAGTTTTGATTGGCTGATAAAAGCTATACAATTACTGAGTAATTGGATAGTTTTAGCTCTTCCAAGAAAAATGTGAATGGAAATGATCCAAATTAATCTTTAATTTGGACAGGAAACAGAATTTGAAAATAATACAATAGTTGCTTACAGCTGTATATGGGATTATAGAGTGATGATACAATTGCCCTATTTCACTATGACATCACATCATAACAATCTATTGTTTAAACGCAAAGGATCATGGTCGTCAGAGGGGGTCAAATCAATGCAAATTCACCGAAAATTGTTCTAAAAGAATAGCCAGCAAACGCTCAGAATATTTCTTAGTTCATATTAACACATATTATATCTGAAAACCTGGCCATTTTAGATTAAACTGTTTTGCTAGGACCAAATTTTGTTGAATTTTCTTCCACATAAACAAGCAGTGACGTCATAGTGAAATTATATTATTATATTATTATGTGCTATGCACCCTCTTATAATAAAGTGTATCATTACTTCTATTGTTATCATTATCATTCTTATTACTATAATTGTATTTTATACAGGGCACGAAATTAACGCTTGCAAACGCACAAAATGCGGATGAAATTTTGTATTTAGCGAGTGACAAAATATTTAACTAGCTAAGTTTTGCAAGTATGACCACAGTCCAGAAATTGAAGTACTGAATAGTCTAGAGCCCACATCAAGTAAAGCTTGTTATTCACCGTGTCCAATCGTTTACTAGCAAGGTTTTTCTAGTGGGTTTAAAAGTTAATTCTGTACCCTGATATATTTCATTTGAAGAGCGTTACTAGTTTATTGGTTAGATACCTATATGACTACCTTATTATGTGATATCCTCTTAAATAAAGTCCATCCTATCATTACTATCATTATACTGTAATTATTCTTATTATTATAGTAGTTTACAGCTGTAATGTTTTTGCATTTATATAGTGGGCGTATTCCGAGTTTGTTAGTGTGTCTCCAAGTGCGAAAGCTAATAATGAGCTGATTATCACTATGAAAAAAGGTATGTTTACAGGAAATATATTTTTTTATTAAAGCCAAACCTTGCTGTGCAAAATATTGAAAAAGTATAACTAAGGGAATAAATAGTAATAAATAATAAACTCATTTCTCAGGCATGGGGTCTCAGATTTGATTACTGGACGTGGCAATATATCATGGCTTAAAATAATGGTCGAATCTTTGCATTGCTGGTCATTTTGACCAGTAACGCTTAGCCAGAAACAAGGTATGACTGAGCTAAAACTAATTCATGGCCAGTCATCACCGCCGACATACTGGCCATTGTTTTAAGCCCTGAACATGTGGGCAGAGCTTTGATGAATCTTTCTCTTGACTTTAGGGTTTTCTTTGAGTTCATGAAACATAGAATAATATACTGTACATATGCTTTCACTCAGTCTGGCTTTTGATGATTAATTTCATTTGTAGGCACTGCTGGAAAGAAGAAGCACAGCATGACTTTCTCAACAGAACATAGAGCAGATCTAATCACTGAAACTCTGGTAAAATACACTGTTCAGGTTTTAATGTATATTGCTGAACCTTGCTATTAAGGGGTTTTCGTATGAGTGGGCAAAAATTCAGCAAATCTGTTAACATTGGAAATTGATGGCATGTCAGTACTACAGTACCTTATTTCACGAAAATATTTATTACAAATTACGTGATTTTTGAGATTGTAAGAAGATCACAAAATTAAAGTGACAAAAAAATAAAAGATATGACACACTATGATGACAAAAAATATAATGACGCAAAAATTAAGTGATCCTCAATTATTAATAAAACAAAGATCACTTTTTGTTGTGGTAGCTCCAGTGTTATACTTCATATATAATGTACATACATATTCTCTATGTTGTAATAATTGATTGAGTTTGGCTTTCTGTTTTCAGAGGTTTCGTCAAAGCTTTGCTGATTATAAATCAAGTGATGTGGTAAGTTGTGTTGTGGAAATCAAGGATAGCTTACTGATAGCACACTCACCTTTGGGGTCTCGGGTCTGTGAGTTAGCCGTGCCCTGACTTAGATCAGCCCAGAGGTTGTTWCAGGGTTCWATCTGTGAGTTATCCATACCAGATCGGCCCAGAAGTTGTTTCAGGGTTCGATCTGTGAATTAGCCATGCACTGACTTTGATAAGCCCAGAGGTTGTTTTAGGGTTGGATCTGTGAATTAGCCGTGCCCTGACATAGATCAGACCAGAGGTTGTTTCAGGGTTAGATCTGTGAATTAGCCATGCACTGATTTTGATAAGCCCAGAGGTTGTTTTAGGGTTGGATAAGATTTGAAGTTTGTTTTTTTGAAGATATACTTACATACATGAGACATACTACATGTTTTGTATTCCTTATTTTCATACTACTGTAAGTGCTTTCATATTAATTCTTTTGTGGTGTTTTAGAAATTCAATGCCTACAAGTATCACTGGAGTGACAATAGAGTACCTGTCGTCCTTGTGGTAAGTGTGCTGTAAATACATAATAGTTTGTGTAGTCCATCATGTAGCACWTCATTTCATGAAAACGTTTAACAATCAGGTTTGGAATGCCTGTGGTTTTCCACAGAACACCCAATCAGGCAAAAACTTAAAAAGTTTAATGATTTGTTGTCTTATTCTAATTGCTTGTTTCCTATAGGTTACTGCATGTTCTTTGGATCAGATTGATGCTAGAACACAGAAGAAACTATGCTCCTATGATTACAAAGAAATGGAAGGCATAGCACTGGTAAATACAATTTATTATTCTTTCTTTGTTTGTTTTTGGTGTTATATTGCATACCTGCATTAAGACTGTGAAATCCCAGCTTTATTGCACTTTATTTGGCAAAGCCAGGGAGGTAGGAGCATGATTTTTATTGTCAAAGGGGGRTGGAGGGTGTAAAATGAAAATTAGGTTGTTTAGCAAATTTGATTTGATTGTTACAGTATGCACTAGAAGAGCAAATGCTATAGCTACTTCTATTTAAAAAATATTATTTTTGAATATAAGAATTTAGTTTTATTGAAAAGTGGGGGGGAGGGGGCTATAGCCCCACTAGTCTCCCTGGCTCCTACAGCACATCACTGCAACACAAGTTGAGGTTTAGGTAGCCAATGACTGATGTGGACCTGCATTAAGATTTGTCCTCAGAATGTCTTTTTAAAAACAAAATGCTACGGATCTCACTGAACTGTGGCAACGCRTCAAAAATTTGTCTTGCTACCACACCCTAATTCGTCTACTGACACRCCTACTTTTGTTACATGTATTACAATGAATACCTTACTGGCAATGTGCTAGATCCGAGACAATGACAAAAGTAGGTGTGTCAGTATACGAATTAGGGTGTGGTAGCTAGACAAATTTTTGGCATGTCGCCACAGTTCGGTTAGATCCGTAGTATYGTTAATCAAAACCTCATCAAATTTTATTAATTTTGTCCCCTTCAATAATCAATGATGATTGGTTCTTTACTATTGCCCTCCAGGTGTCAGATTACCCAGGAGGCTTTGTAATACTTTATGGAGGCTTCAGTAGACTGGTACGTCATCAATTTCTGTTGTATCATATAATTTGAATAACTGTTATAAGTCTTGCATTCTGATTGGTTGGGAGTCTATGCTCTCTTTTTTCTGTATAAAAGACAGCTGGCCTAATTTGCATTCTATAAAAGAAATATGCTGCGTTCGCTCAAGAAGTGTTGAGCAGTACTCTGCTATGCAATTAAATTATTTTTCTGGCTCTTACAGTACAACTACTGTAACTAGTACCACTTAGACCAGTTAGGCAACTATGACTTATGCAATCTGACAGTCTAAGACTGCACGAGAATGGTCATTTGACCCTGATATTAGTGTAAACAACTAGATAGCCATCGTCAATTCTCTTGGGAATAAAAAGATATATGTTAAAAGGCTATTGTTTTCTGCCTCTTTCTGATTGGTTCCAAAGTTAGATTGTATGGTTTTCATTCCCCAATGTGATTGGTTCTTGCTGTATAGGTGCCCTGAGTTATAGTACATAGTTGCACTGCAATTCTCTCATGTTCCAACATTCCCTGAAAGGTGCTGCATGTATATGTGAATAATTATGCTTCTGAAAGTTATAAAATCAAGGTCTACTATACTCAATAAATGTGTTATATCAATTACTACGTATCTCTTTGCAGCACATGTTTGYGACAGATCAGAGAGATGAGCTCATTAGAAAGATGGGAGAATATGGAATGGCATATTTAGGAATTGTTATAAAGTAAGTAACAGTTAACTAGAAAATCAGATATTCTCTCGTGATTAAAGATGTCTGTCTGTCTGTCTTTCTGTCTCTTGCTTGAAGTTTGATTTACAGTATACTATGCTTAGATGTACTGTATGCTAATAATTAATCCATAAAAAGATGTTTTCACTATTTACAGCACACATCATTAAACTCAGATGCTGATTTTTACAGAGGGAGAATAACTAAAAAACCTGGAGCAAAAGCCTTGTGCACAGTAGAGAACAATAAATTAAGCAAACTTAAGTCACATGCAGTATTTCATTCGAACTCAGTCCAGAATCAAACCTGTCACCCCAAGGGTGAATTACTCAGTGATGAGAGACAGTGCCGTAGCAGCACATGTTACCCATGTCACCCTTAAAATATATAAAGAAGATTGAAGTTCTGATTGTTGTATTTATTATTTGACATATCCAGACAAAGACCAAAGCCAATAAAATTTGATCAGTTTCACAAACACAGATTTGGAAAATACAGGTGAGTTTCTTTGTGCGCAACATTATTTATTGCATGACCTTACCCCTATCTTCCATCATCATATGAACAGTCCACCAATAACTGAATAATGGTCATGATGCCCCCTTGTCATGATGCCCCCATCCAAGATGCCCAGTGTATACCATGATGCCCCAGTGTATACTATGAAGCCCCTAGTCTGTACTGCCATGACACCCCCATAACCTACCAGCATCCTTCTGATTTGGAAGCAAAACAATAATGGTGAACAATGGACAATGTCTGGCCAAACCGCTCTTGGGCCAATTCTCTTGACTGTTCACTTTGATGAACTAAGCAGTAGTCTGATATTGCCAGTTATCATTTCCAGCCATTGAGCAGCCATTATTTTTTGCTCTGGATATGTGACTATAAGACCAGGTAAACAACCCCCAAATGACAGACAAATAGCATTGTTTGTCTTACAGTGCCATAGCACACAAGCTCCCTAGACGTAACATTTCTCCTAAAATTAGGAAAACATTTTTCATCGGGTTTCTTACATTTCCTCTTACAGTGAAGATGAACATGTAACGTCTTTAGCAGAATTCAAAGTTCACAAAATTACATGCAGAAATCCTGTGAGTAAAAAGATGTATAATATATATATATATATATTCTTAAGTTAAACAATGTAATTTATCTGATTTGTTGGTTGGTGATGATGATTATGATAGTGATGGCAGCAGTGAACAATACTATGATGATGTTGAATGGAATACTCTAGGATACTCTAGGAATGACACATGGTCTGAAGTTGGATGTTTTGTTGGTAGGTGATGATGATGATAGTGATAGTGAAAGCAGACATTATGTTGGTAGACAATGATGGTATTAGGGAAGCACGGGTGGCATAGCGGTGTGAGTGCTCGCCTCTCATCAATGCCACCCGAGTTCGAGTCCCGCCAGGCTCAGTGTTGTATATGAGTAGAGTTGTTTGTTGGTTCTCTCCTGTGCTGCGAGGGTCTTCCRGGTTCTCCGGTTTTCCTCCCTCCGCAAAAATCAACTCCTAAATTCCAATTCGATCATGGAATGAGGGCCACAAGTTTGTTAGCCACTGGCTATTAAGTGCTACCCTCGTGAAAAAAGGACGGTTTTTTTATTAGTGATGGGGACAGTGACAGTTTCACTGACCATAACTATGATGGTACATACTATAGGAATGACGCATGGTTGGAAGCATTACATTGTGTGCTATTTGTACTAGAAAATCAAGGATAATGATGATAGTGATGCTTACAGTGACAATGATGGTGATGGTGAAGATAGATCAAATTCTAGAGAATGATACATGTACATGGTCTGAAGTCTGAAAACTGCAGTTAGGGATATTATTTTAAAATGCAAAAAGTATTCTAAATATCCAATCTGACCTGGGTTTTTTTWATTTTAGGATCCTGTGGCCAGAACACTGTGTCTCTCAGAGTCCTGCATCATTGAGCGCGACCCTGCCACATATTGTATTGTTAGCTGTCAACCTTTATGTGATGTAAGTAATAGAAAAGAAGCATGGGCGCTTGCCTCTCATTAATGCAACCTGGGTTTGAGTCCCGCTGGGGTCAGCGTTTTATGTGAGTGGAGTTTCTAGTTGGTTCTCTCAGGACTGTACTTCGAGGGTTTTTGTCTCTGGTTTTTTCAGTGACTTCATTGCTCGGCAAAAATTAACCAACTTCCAAATTCAAATTCGATCATGGTACAAGAGCCACAGGTTGGTTAGCCACTGGCTATGAAATGTTACTCTAGCAAAACAGGAACAATAAACTTACAGTTTTTTTCTTTTTTTCTTTCTTTCTTCTTTTAAAATCTAATGYGTTTACCACTCCTGGGTGGACAGCTTCATGCCTAACAGGCCTTGTGACCCAATTGATAAGACAGCCCATAGATTGAATTAGAATTTAGAAGTTGATTTTTGTGGAGGGATTAAAAACTGGAGTACCTGGAAGGAAAACCCTCGCAGCACAGTAGAGAAACAACAAACAACTTTACTCACATATGACACYGAGACCGGCGAGACTTGAACCTGGGTCAGATTGGTGAGATGCGGCACATTAGCAGCGCACACCACCTGTGCTTTTTTAATGAGTGGTGTGCCATCAAATACAGGGTTTCATCCCTGAACTCATCACCATGTTTGCAGGGCTGCTAAGACTCATCTTTTGTGAGCAGAGTTGATCCCTTGGTTCTCTCCTGTGCTYTTAGGGTTTTTCTCCAGGTTCTCCAGTTTTTCTCCCTCACCTACAAAAATCATGAATCACATAACAAGAGCCACAAGTTTGTTATGCACTGACTATTAAGTGCTAGACTCGTAGGACAAGGACAATTTATAATTTATTGGTTGAACTATAAAAAATCCTGCAGCACCACGACCAGTAATGCTATGGAATTCTACACAAAATGCCGACAATTCTTCTCATCAAATAGCAGTGTAATATTGATACATGATGTTTTGTTCAATTCTTGATTTCCAGGTCTTCACAATGATTAGATATGTAGAAAACCCACAACTTCTTGCTATAGAAAATGTTAAGGGAGCAGTTAAGACATATACATCAGTAGATAGGTGAGTACAGAACTAATATTATATATTATAATAATCATAGTAGTAATAAATTATGCGTTCRGTGTGTAATGAAATAGACTGGAATACCGAAGACGTGGTTTCGATTCCCACCAAGGGCATTTGATATTTTTCTCTTATTCTCTCTATTATAATTATATATAAGTTAGGAAAATTGAAAGAGAAAGAGGCCGGTAAATATCTGTACAAATCTGTAATTTAAAGTAAGAGATGAAATAAGAGAGTAAATAATAATAAAAAGAAAAGAGAAAATAAAAAGAGACAAAAAAGGTGAATACAGCTTGTTATTTTCACAATGAAGCTTGTCTTTCTTAATGGAGAAAATGGATAAGGTATCCAACTGTGTAAAAATTAACTCCTAATTTCACTTGTTATCAGTGGATGAAAAACCACTCTGTTGTTGAAGTGCCACTGTTAAATCTATTGATTCTCTTTAGGGATTCTTTATTAGCAAGTTTGTTGGATGGTGTTCGAGCTAGTGGTAATAGAGATGTCTGTGTTAAGATGACACCTACAAAAAGGGGTGAGTAACGTGCAGCTAACTTGTCAATAATCAATCAATCAATAAACGTTATTTAAAGAGGGTGACGTTACTATTAACCTAGTGAGTTATCTAACATATGGCTCCCGCTACATGCAAAGTTACAAATTGTAAAACTATAGTGATTAAAAGTAAGCATGATAATCATGAGGTGTATCCCAGTCATACCTCATTTCTGACTAAATGTTACTGTCCCAGTTCTGGCCGGACATTGTCTGATGTCAGGCAGTTATTTTCAGCTCTGCACTCAGTAGTCTTATGTGGACAACCAGTTATATGGACAAATTCTCTGGTTTCTGTAATGAAAACTAGCRTTAGTAGGAAGCACAGATGACATATCGCTGATGTACTTGTCTATCACCAAGGTGACCCAGGTCCAATTCCAAGAATCGGGATGGTATGTGAGAAGAGCTCCTTGTTGGCTCTCTCCTTTGTTTTGAAGGAGTTTCGATTCAATTCCACTGTTAATTTTAATTTTTTCCTATTTTTAACAAATTTACTGTGAGAAGGGTTTGATATGCACRAAATAACCAGATTGCCATATATTTTTTTCTAGGCTTCAGACTGGGACCTTACATCTCTCATTTAGATGAGGAAGTAGAGAGTACTCATCTAAGATTTTTAGCAGTACCACCAGGTAAACACTCAGAATGCAACCTTCATTCACCTGTAGAGCTTACCTTTTTTCAACAGTTCAATATTGCTCTGCTTACTATCTATAAAATCCCTATACGATGCTGTGCTTTGTTGTGCCATGCCTAGTGGGCTGTGCTGTATCATGCTGTGCTGGACTATGCTATGCTGTTCCTTACCTAACCATATCCTGGGGCTGGCAAACTCTGCTTTTTTCTTGCTGTACTGTGCCTTTCTGCCGTGCTGTGCTGTGTTGTGCTGTACTGTGCTGTTCTGTGCTGTGCCATGCAGTGCTGTGCCATGCTGTGCTGTGCCATACTCTGCTGTGATACTAGTACACTGAAAAATGTGCTAGTTCTTGTTAAATATAGCTTATAGATAAGCTGTGCTGCTGTATGTACAGTGTTCCTTTATGCTATACTTTAGCCATTACATTTCTGTTTTTCTCTTCCATAGTTTCGAGGTGCTTAATAATTATTTGTGCAATAATATGCTAGACCATACAATATGTATTATTTCATACTTACTATAAGACAACTTCATTTACTTTTCCTAGGCAAGTTCTCTGAAGCAGTGGACAGGTTTAACTGTAACATTCCTTACAATGGGCTTCTCCATGCTGTCTCTCAAGATGTAAGTTTACCTTTCTGCATCTGTAGTAAATTATTCATGAATACAGACACAGGGCTGCACTTTTTTTTTGATAAACAGGTCATTTATCAGGCCAGAAGGATGGTTGACCTAATCATTTACAAGTCAAATGATCATTTTTACAGAACATTTTGTCTGATGACCGGCAATTATTTGTTGCCTTGCATGTACAAATGTCTTTTTCGATTATCAACAAAATAATTTTTTTCCTTTAGGGCTTTTTTGCAGAAAACAAGGAGAGGCTGATTACTGGTGCTATAACAGCTCTAATTGAAAAAGAAGGTATGATACATCTCCTCTCATGTACACTTTGCATTGTCTTAGGCTATTATTCCAGGATCTTCTCTGAGTAAGTAGCTGTGGGGGAAAGTGGGTAAATATAGAAGATACATGTAAGATCAAGAGAGCATGAATAAGAGAGGGAAACTTTTTAATAACGTGTGTGCCATGTAAATTCCCAGTTGGGCTATTTTTAGTAAGCCGATGCAGTTTAAATTTTGCCTTACCCTACTCCTGTGTGTCATCAATTTGCACACATGCGCTCTTTCCGTTTTGTTTTTAGCGATCAGAGCAATTTAAATGAAAAGAGCACACATGCACAAATTGATGACGCACAGGAGTTGGGTGAGGTGAAATTTAAACTAAATCAGGTTACTAAAAATAGCCCAACCTGGAATTTACATGGCGCGTGCTTTATTCAAAGTTTCCCTCTCTTTTTTATGCTCTCCTGATAAGATACAGTAGTATGTACGTACATGGAATTGAAATATGTTGACCAATAATTTGAATAACTATTGTTCTGCACTGACTTTCTTCTCATACATGTACATGTAAAAAATGCTTTTATGTTTCCACGTGAACACAAGGCTAGTCAGTCCAGATATTCAGTATTGAATTAAGACTTAAATGGTAAATAAACATTAGTTTTTCAAACTGGTTCCCAAATTTTGATTCGGTGTACAGAATAATGTTTGTAGAATATTGTACACTACTCTTTAGACATTTACTTATTCTAGCCAAAGTGTGTGAAAATATAATTCAAACTGGATTTCATTACTACTGTACATGAATGATATATATTATTCACTCAGTATTTATTTATTATTTTGCTTTTGTTCTCAGGGGACCAAAGCACAGTAACATTAGAAGAACTTGAAGGACAGTTTCATGCTCTGAGGAGATTAGTCGCATCAAAAGCTGGCTTTGATTGCTTCACTACTCTTCCCAAGTAAGCATCATTATTTTGATGTCTTCATGACAGGGATCTCTGCTGACGATTGATTAAAGGCAATTCATATAGACACTACATTACACCACAACCAGTTTACATTACACTACACACTGCATCTCACCAAAGCATATACCAAACCATATACTAATTGATTAGAGGCAATTGTAAACACTACACACTACATCAAAACAAGTTTATATTACACTACACTACACTCTACACTGCACAACACCAAACCGTATACCAAATCATAGGATTTCATTTGATGTTTTCATGACAGGAATCTCTGCTATCAATTGATTAAAGGCAATTGTACACTACACTACACTACACTACACTACACTACACTACACTACACACTACACTGTATTGCACCAAACCATAGCATACCATACTACACTTGAGTGCACTATTATATTATTCTATACTACAGAGCTGCACATTAAAGTACAACATACTGACACCACACCATAACCACCACAACATTACACTGTGTACGGGCCAACGTATTGTTACATTTTGCTTATACCACACCACGGCAATCTAACTGGTTTGTCACTATAGATTCAGAGACAAACTTGGTGTGAAAGTTATCAAAGCYCTAAAGAGGAATGATGATGGAGTCAACCATGCTGCCATTGACATGATGTGTGCTTTGATGCAGGTACTATATACAATAGATTACATATTATAATATGATGAATAGTCCCTTTCACAGTTCCCTGAGCCATCTTGAAAGGTAGCAGTACCTTTGCATCAAAGCCAGCTAAACGGTGACTGCAATGATAGACTTTTTTTAACACCTTGGTCAATTATCCACAAGTCTCTATCATTACAACCTCACCATTCATCTTGCTTCAATGCAAAGGCATGGCTACCTTTCAAGATGGCACAAGTAACTGTGTAGGGGACTATAAGGGAATCCAGGGGGACATAGCAGCAGTTCACTCTCCCCTCACCTCTGGGGTACCAGGTTCAATTCTTGGACTYGTAATCATTATTTTACAGTGTAGATCTCTCCCATGAGTCGAGATTTCAAAATTTTTCTTCAACTTTGTGAAATCCAACCTCTTAAATTCCAATTCATTCTGTGAGTCAGCTGTGCCCTTACTTAGATCAGCCCAGAGATTTTTTCAGAGTTCAATCTTCAAATTAGCCATGCTCTGACTTAGATTAGCCCAGAGGTAGTTTCAGAGTTCAATCTGTGAGTTAGCCATGCACTGAATTAGATTTGCCCAGAGTTGTTGTAGGGTTCAATCTGTGAGTTAGCTGTGCCTTGACTTATTAGATCAGCCCAGAGGTTGTTTCAGGGTTCATTCTGTGAGTTAGACATGCTCTGACTGAGATCAGCCCAGAGGTAGTTTCAGGGTTCAATCTGTGAGTTAGCCATGGCCTGACTTTGATCAGCCCAGAGGTTGTTTCAGAGTTTGATCTGCAAGTACACGTAAGCCATGCTCTGACTTTCATCAGCCCAGAATTTGTGTCCTACAGTAGTTCTAATAACCTGTGATTTAGCCATGATATTCTGACTTTGATCAGCCCAAAGGTTGTTTCAGGGTGTTGATGAAATTTGGTGTTTTACGCTACAGGAGGGGAAAGGGGGGATTGGGCAGGTGTGGTCTGCATGCAGTTCCCTAATACAGACAGAGTATCCATTATCCATTATAAAAGTTTATACTATTCTCTTTGTCTCGATACAGCCAATGCATGATAATTACGACCTGAGGCAGGAACAGCTAAACAAGTCATCACTGCTGTCTTCAAGAAAATTCCTTGCAACAATCTTAGAAATATTTAGTACACATGTTGTAAGTTCAAGCTGAAATAGAAAACACATGCGCATGCTGTGTGCAGTTATAAAGCAATGGGGGTTGGAGAAGTGTTAGGAGGAAAACGATACTTAGGGGAGTGTTTCTCAACACTTCTCAAGTGATCTGCCAATCCCAAAGTGCTTCATAACTCCACACAGCACAGCAAGCAAGTTATTTTTTCTTTCATAAAATACATGTATATTATTTTAAAAATATGTGCATTACACTAACCCTTGTACATTGTTTATAACCTTTGGCCAACTTTGTTCTTTTGTTAGAGCCATAATTTATGAAATTTTGTTCATGACAAGGAAAACAAATGTTGTTGCTGATAAAGCTCAGTTTGTGCATTTTTGTTGCTATTATGGTGATATTAGTTTCAATATTTTAAACACCACCAACATGGCCACCTTGTCTTCATCAGTTGACCTCCTTGGAAATGGTTGCAAATAGTGTTGGTTGTTGTTCATAGTTATGCATACAGTTAATTTTGTTATTGATGCCAATGTTGATGATCAAGGACAGGATGAGAATGGTGGTGTTGGTGATGATGTCAGTCAAGACTGACAGCAAATAAACCATATTATTTTTTGATATATTTCAGAATCGAAGCACTGGTGCCCTTGTTATCACTGCCTTGCTTGACTTTTTAACCTTTGCCCTTTGTCCACCTTACAGGTAAGTTAAGGGTAGTACATGGCAGAAAACTGTTTACTGATTATAATTATCAACATAGTGGTAGTACACCCAACACTGTATCAAGGAAAATAACTTTTAATTAGTAGTTATCAATTCATTGACAAGTGCAATATGACTTTCACATGCTTTCAGTTCGACCCCATTGAGCTGCGCCACTGCTGTACTTGCAGTGGTGATGAGCAATGACAAGTTTTATTCTTTTTTTATTCATTATATTGGGTTTTTTTWAATAGTGAAACCACTGAAGGCAATCAGTTTGATACACTGCTAGAGATGGTAGCAGGTGAGTTCTAGTGATCTGTAATCCAATTTCTATGTTTAAAGAAAAGTGTATGGGCCTTTATTACAAGGCCTGCACCCATTTTTATAAAATAAATAAAATAAAATCTGTTCTTTTTTTTGAGTGTACATTTGAACCCAATAATTAAACTGGAAAAATCTTTTTTCCTGTCTACCATGGCTGCTGCATGAGAAAGGCCCATTGACAAGTTATAAACTAGTCTCACAGCTGTCATTAGTGTCAGTCCTAGATCCTCCCAGACCCTCCCAGACCCTCCCAGATCCACCACTCACATCTGCTCACTCAACCACAGCATTCCTTTTTCTATTGTCTGGGCCTGGTTGTATGAAGCCTGGATAGCACTATCCGGCAGATAAATCCTAATCCAGTGGATAAGTCAATGCTGTTATCCAATAAATTTATCCACTTGATAAGATTTATCTGTCAGATAGGGGTATCCAGGCTTCGTATGACCGGGCCCTGGTTTTCAGTTCCAATGCATTTACCACTCCTGGGTGGATGGCATTAATGCCTAACAGGTTATATCAACCCGGTTAGCATAAGGCAGCTAATAGATCAAATTAGAATTTAGAAGTTGATTTTTGTGGAGGGAGGGAAAAAATGATGAAGAAATAAAGAAATACTAATCAGGGATTCGCACTAACGACTGCTGAACATGAGATAAGCAGTAACTATGCATGCAAAAGACTACGTACTTATTGACTGAGTGAGAGGGCCGTAGAGGAAAATATTTGGCTCGAAGTAATGCCATTCGGACCGAACGCAGCAAGATCAGTACAAATGAACGAGAACCAAATATTTTCCCTTACAGCCCAACCCAACTCAGTCAATGAGCATTTTATCATATGACCCTAAATAAAAAAGATATTTTGAAAGTTGCAAATTATGTCAATACGGTCGCAGGTTTCAAGCAGGGCTGTATGGATTCGTACGGCCCTGCTTGCTCAAAGCTGTACSGCCTTGCTACTAGCTCAAAGCATATGGCCCTGCTCATGCCATTTTCCCAAAGGTTTTTTTAAGAGCACTCCCCCAGGCAGATACAGGTCATATGATAATAAATCATATTTGCCTGCTAACCATTTGAAAGTTAATATCAAAAACATCTTATATTAATATGAGTTACTCTGGGTAACTATATACATATAGTCTTCATTTTTATTTGGGTAGCATGGGTGGTGTTCTATATACATATAGTCTTCATTTTTATTAATTTTATTTATACCATTCCTCAGAATTAGGTAGAACCATATTCAAGTTGTTCCAGGTACTGTGTTTAGCTACCTTAATTCCTGGTATTTCTGTTACATACTTGGGATGCATGTCATGTCATTAGCCATTCCAAAGTTGAGGAAAAAACTGGTCGATATTGCAGTTTTAGGGGACAAAATAGATGCCATCTTGGAAATGACTCCCTTAAACCATCAAGGCCGGTACACACAAGGGAGCTTGCTCACACAACACGCTCCCACAACACGCTCCCGGAGCAAAGCTCCCTCATCTGTACCAACAATTTCACACRGAAAAAGAATGTTGTGCAACAAACTTTTGCTCCTGGGTTTAATGCTCCCTCATATCAAAATGGCTAAATATGATGGAGCAAGCTTGAGGAGCAAATCTGTTGCAGAATTGTGTTTCAGGAGTAAGCTCCCTCGTGTGTACTGAAAAACTTTAATTGCTGCTCAACAACCTGTCTCCAGTTGGCCAATCAAATTGGCTTATTTGTTGGATTTAAAACTAGTTCCCATGCTCCAATCGGGTTATTTCAGCGTTTAGCTCCCTCGTGTGTACAGGTCTAGCAAAATGACCCAGGATCACCTAGGAGTGTGTTGTTGGAGCAACCTCCCTTGTGTGTGCAGGCCTTCACAATGCACTTCAATGCCAACACAACCTAGTTTTTTCCTCATCTTTAGAATTGCTAATAGCCGTGATGTTGGTTGACTTCTAATAATAATAATAATAAGACTTAATTTCAAGAGGGTTAAACACTAAACAGTTATAATAACTGATAAACTTGTGACCCTTCTGTTTATTTATTCTCATGAGTGAAGTAATGCATGTCATGCTGAGTCATTCTCCATTTATTTAATATTTCTAAATAGCACCCATCAATGGCTATTGTCAAAGGTGCTGGTATGGTCATGAAGGCAGTTATAGAGGTAAGTAAAACAATCATTTTGACTTTGACCAATAATAAAATTGTTTATCATATAATTATCCATAAAATACCTATATTTCTCCTTTTCGAAAAACTGATATTTTCATTATTTTCACATGTGAAAATATTGTTACCATGTGTATTCAAGCTATTTGTTTATGAATAAAAACTTTTTATGATAATAAAAAGCTTATTAAGTTGATTTTATGGATAAATATATAATAAACAGAATGTTACATGGGTGCTTGGAGATACGAAATTTACCTTCTCATGTTGAAAATCAAAGAAAAATTTCGTATCTCCACACGCCCATGTAATATCCTTTATTTATTAGTATAAAAACCAACTATAATGAAGACAACAAATTAATGGCAAGAAGTACTATACCTAATCAAGTCCATTTGCCTTTCACCTCTGGGGTCCCCATGGGGTTCAATGGACTACTTTGACTATGTGGCGGCCATCTTGAATCGCAATGCATTATGGGTCATCCAGGGGGCAAATAAAGCTTTGTTACAGTAATGATGTTGATTGATATTACAGCTCACCACAAAAGAATACAAAATATGAATTAAGGCGGCATATCGAGATTATTTTTATCATCTTTGTTTTGCCTCATGGGAAGATAGCTGTCATATCATTGAAGTAGTCCATTCCTGAACTTTACTTTGTATCATATGTGACTAGAGTTTGATAGGTCTCCCTAAATTCAAGGGTTTTTTCGGGTTCTCTACTTTCCCTCCCTCCAATACAATCTTTGAGATAGCTGTGCCCTGGCTTACATCAGCCCAGAGGTTGTTTCAGGGTTCAATCTGTGAGTTATCCATACCTTGACTTAGATCAGCCCAGAGGTTGTTTCAGGGTTTGATCTGTGAGTTAGCCATGCCCTGACTTAGATCAGCCCAGAAGTTGTTTCTGGGTTTGATCTGTGAGTTAGCCATGCCCTAACTTTGATCAGCCCAGAAGTTGTTTCTGGGTTTGATCTGTGAGTTAGCCATACGCTGACTTTGATCAGCCCAGAAGTTGTGTCAGGGGTTGTTTTAAAGTCATAAGAGTAAGGAATGGATGCTGATCTTGCTCTTTTTTTCTAAAGGAGGGGGATGCAGAAATTGCAGCTAAGATGCAGGATCTAGCCTTGGCAGAAGGTGCTCTACCTCGTCATCTGCACACTGCTATGTTCACTCAGAGTACTGATAGTAGACTTCTTACAAATAGGTAATATAAAAATTAAACTCTTGTAAAGATCCTAAATAGTTTGTTAAGGAATCTTTGCTAACACTGCTTCAAATGACTCAAGATTTAAAAAAAAGTTCAATGAATTTTGGGTTTTGAAGTAAGTGTCAAACAAGAGAATCAGTGTTGCATCTGATATCCAAACAGAGAGAAGCACGTGCATAACAAAAGTTAGCCAAAGCAAAAGTGGAGCAGATTGTATGCTAATTAAGATCATGCAAACTTGTTCCACTGTAATAATTTGCTTTATTTTCTCTGAGTAAAATATTAATGACTAAACTTGTTTTGAAGCATAAATTTTGTTTTTAAAATACTCATGTTTGAAAATTATTGGCTATTTTCCCTCAGAAATGTGAGTCCTAAATATTTTTGCAGCTCCACAATATGAGGTCTATCAAATAAATATTGAATTATTGAGATATCTAATTTTAGTATATTGTTGCATGCAGACAGCTGAGTCGGCATCTTGTTGGTCTTTGGGTAACAGGACATCCTACTGCCATGGGTCTCTTAAAAAGGATTCTAGTGAGTTATGCTACTAGTTTGACTTTCTAACAACATCATAATTGTCATATTTATTTACCTGTGTATCATTTAGAATAATTTGATGAGAAAAATATGAAAGGTTTATGAGTAAATGTAATATTTGTTACTTTTTTCTAGCCCCTTGGACTTTTGAATTGTTTGGACAGTGATGAAAAGGTAATGTCTTGTTCTGTGTCTCTTTTTTTGTTTGTCTGATTTTCGATTTATTTCCACGTATTGATCATTTTATGTGACTTGAAGTTGTGAAAGGCCTCTTGGCCCTCTTCTTCAGTCGTTTCACATTGGGCTCGTAATTTACCTATTACACATGTTCTTATACAATTCCAAGCCCATCTTACACGACTTACTGCCTCATCTCTATTGATCTATGATGTCTTATGTTTAAAGGTTCCTGAAAAAGAGATTGACAAGCTTCATGTGAGAGACAATGTCAAAGCAGCAGAGGTACAGTATGTCATGTTCTCCATCATATATATATGTAAACTATGTCCTTCTGTATTCCCAAACCAAGCTCTCTTAGGGCGCTTCCCATTAAGTCAAACCAACCAGTTCTCAAATGGTACGTGTCAGTTCTCACTAGTTTTGAGAGTTTGCCACTCAGACTGGTCAGTTAGACCTGATGGAAAGTGCCCTAATTCTCTGTCATGTTGGCCAGTATTTTATCATAACATCAGACCATTAACTGCATTTCAGCATAGGTGCAGATCTTGGGTTAGTATCTCACCCAAGATTGGGGATATGGGAAAAGGAATCTCTGAGAATTTAAAATTGATTTTTTTTCTGGGTTCTCAAAATTCTAGATGCTAAAGATACTACAGGGCTAAAAATGATGAAGTTAATTGTTACCAGCTGTCAATGTCCAGATGACTAGCCTAAGAAGCATTTTGCTGGCCAAGTGCCAGTTTTGGCTAGGCATTATCTGTTGACAGGGGCGGATCCAAGGTTTTTTCGAGGGGGGGTGCACTTATTTGGCTTATGATTTCATGAGTGATGACATCAGTAAACAAGAAAATTCTAGTTTATGGGGTTATTTCTACGCATGCAGCATTTTGATATGTGATAATAAATCGAAATAATTCACAGTAAGATACAGCATATTTTGTATCGCATTTACAAATAAAAAATGAAAAATATATAAATGTAGAGCAAAGGATCGATTAAGATTAATAGGCAACAATTCTTAAGAAGTCAGCTTCTCTCGGGGGGAGGGGGGGGGGGGTGCGCAACCCCTGCACCCCATAGCTGGATCCACCACTGGTTGACCTGGTGTTACTTTTAACCTTGCACCCCTGTCACCTGTACTTTCGTGTTGGCCCTGCCTGCACCCTATTTTCCTCTAGTTATTATTTCTATGTATCTATTGCTGGATATCCTAATATTCTTTGCAAATTTTCCATTGACATCAGGACTCTTCCAAGAGCAAGAAGAACATTTACTTGGTTCAACTTGATGCTGTTATGACTCACTGGAGAACTAAGGTTGGACTAAAGTCGAAAGAGGTAAGTACATCTTTATACACTGGCAAGCAATGGGGTTTTCATTAAGTTTCACTCCACACTCTTTCCTCATAGTTTGTTAGGTTTCAAGGAGGGAGGAAAACTGGAGAACCTTGATAAAAACCCATGAATCAATGGAGAGACCTAACAAACTTTACTTGCATGTAATGCTGGGTCCAGAAATCGAACCAGAAATCTAAAACTTAAAATCTAATGCATTTACCACTCCTGGGTGGACGGCTTAATGCCGGAGAAACCGGAGAAGCCGGAGGAAAAACCCTCGAAGCACAGGAGAGAACCAACAAACAACTTAGTATACTCACGTGCTACACCTAGACTGGCGGAGCTCGAACCCAGGTAGCATTGGTGAGAGGTGGCCTATTAGCAGCTTGCACGCCACCCATGCTTTCTGTTAAGGAGACTACAGAGGAGAGCGTACTACCATTATACCACTCTCTGAGCTCTTTGCACGCTTTATTCCCATGGAAATGCAAGTATGATAACAGTGTTCTGAAGACTTCCAGCTGATCTCAAAATATAGTGATGTAGAAATGACGTCACTGCAAAACAGAGGTGTCGTGAAGCCTGTGAAAATTGACCAGCAAAAATAAAAACCTGTCCACCATTGCAATAAAAATATAAAAATTAATTGGTTATTGTGTCGCTGTCTTCAATCTCTTATTAGCAATAAAACTTTTTTTTTTTTAATTTGTTGGCCTTGAAATCCATAAACTTCAAGAGGAAAAGGGACATGTCACTTTTAAAAATTTTATTGACTTTGATTGGCTAACATTTTTCTTTCAGATCTGGTTGTTGTGCTAACAAAATGATTTCTAAGGGTGTAAAAACGTTTTTTTTTTACTACAGAATAACATGAAACCAGTGATATTGAGGAAAAGAAGGCAAAGGGTCAAGAGTGATGCCAACTGGGAGTTGTTTTACTTCAAGTAAGATTTATCTTATGGTGCCGCAAGATTTGGTAGTCAAAGAAAATATCAGTTGCATTAATTTGAGAATGTTCCATTTGTTTTTGAGGACGCAGCATGGTGGAGTGGGTTAAAGTCCCGCTGTGGCCACTAGCTGAGACTGTATTTGTCCTGATTCCTGATTAGTTCAAATTCAGTTTCTTGACCATGCTTGTAAATAGCCAACTGGTTTGCCTCCTTGCCAGTTGGGATTCTTAAAAAACACTTTATGTTTCTATTTCTTCATTTCAGTTTATTAATTTATGGACTACATTGTAAACTAGCAGTCAACTACTGTAGAAGTGTACTTTTCATGATAAATATGGTTAATTTTTGTTTTTTGGTTTTTTTTTGTTTTTAGATTTAACAATGACCATTCTACTCCAAACCTCATTTGGAATTATAAGGTAAAAATAAGTAATTCTACATTTTTTTCCTAACTTTTCGATATTAGAGTAAAAACACTAAAAGCATGCAACCTATAGACCCCTTGCATGTGATGTCAAAGCAGCTTAATTTGGAGGACAAAACGAAAAAATTTCAATCCCCTGAGAATTGGAAACCTATTGTTATGTCATCCAAATTGAGCTGCATTCAGACGTGCTGCAAGAGGTCTATAGTTTTCTTTGGTAACAATAGAAACTAGAATTAGCATACTTTAGCACTATTTAGTACTATTTAAGTTGCACCCTTTTAGGGCTTTTACTCAAACATTAAAGAAATGAGAAAATTTAATTAGTGCTAAATAGTGCAAAGTACTGCAAACGTTTAGTGTTCATACTCTACTCATACTCAGTTCCGTTCATTGACCACGAATAATAGTTCAAAGTCTAGGCTGGAGTTGCCGCGCATAGTTTATCATGCGCGGCAAATCCAGTCTTGGCTTGGAACTATTATTCGTGGTCAMTGAACAGGAATGTAAAATGGAGTATTCTTGCATGTACATGACGTTGTTGTGTTTATTATATAGTGTCCATTACATCATACATACTTACTTGTCAATCGCATTATTACTATACTTATTAAATACTATGCTGTTACAAATAATGTTAGAAACTGATTGATATTGGGTTTCTCCTTTCATTCATTTGTTCCATTTTTGCTTTTTTGTTCCTTTGTTCAATATTCCATCCATCCATCCATCTATTCATTCATTTATTAATTCATTTATCCATTCAGTCATCCATCCATTCGTCCATTCAGTTGTTCATCCATCCATTCATCCATCCATCTAATCATCCCTTTATTTATCCATCCATTCATCTATCCATCAATCCATCAATCCATCCATTCATTCATTCACTTATTCATTCGCTTATTTTCAGACAAGAGAAGAACTGCGTGAAGCATTAGAATCAGAAATGAGAGCATTTGGAATGGACAAGGTAGGGCAGTAGGATTACACAATAAAATAATAGACTAAAGCAGCATGTCATACTACAGACTACTTGGAATATGTTTAAAGCAGGGAGCCCTGGTTCAATTCCTGGACTTGGTCTCACATGTCTCTTCTTTGATTTGAGGATTTTCTCTGGGTTCTCTGGTTTTCTACCCTCCACAAAACCAAACATACTAATTTCCAATAAAATTTTAGGCATGTGTCATTCCCTAGAGTATTATTTCTTTGTTTAATGGTTGCACATGAAAAGACACATGAATATGGATACGACTCAAACAGAGAATCTTATTTTCAAAGGAATGACACATGGTCTGAAATGGGAAAAAATGCCCAAATTAAAGAGGTAAGATTGTGGGAATGTTTTAAGGGTGAAGTAAATTCCATCCTGAAAATATGTGCACTAAAACAGCCCCACAATGTACTTTATTGCCAACTCAACCTAACTTTTTACTCCATCCTTTTATATCCAGGATCTTGGTGGTCAGTACACTGTGTCATGGAATCATCAAGAGTTTGAAGTCCGTTACGAGTGCCTGAGTGATGAGATCAAGATTGGTGATTATTACCTGAGGCTACTGCTTGAAGATGAGGAGGACAATGTTGATATAACCAATTCGTAAGTCTCACCATCCCATTCATCTGTCCAGCTAGTTTTGGCAAAAGTGAGATAAGGAAGAAGGAATGTTTGGAACAAGGGGCTGTTGTGCGGGAGGTTGTGTTTTCAAGCTTCGGCCAGCCTAACACTTAATTAAAATATCTGAGTAAAGGTGCAGCCATTGCTTTAAAATTACCTGTAAATGGTTAGAGAGTCCTTGAATACAGTAACATTTTTATATAGAACTAATATTTGTTTGTTGTTGTCGTAAGATTGGAGTTCTTTAATGATTTATACCATCGCTTTTTGTTGACCACGAAACCAAACATGAAAGCCATGTGTTTACAGGTGGGTCATGATATTACACAAACACTTGATTAAATGATTTCTTAGACTGAGGTCAAACGTTGAACTTCGTATGCTCCTTACGCATTGATAACAATGGACAATACTCGAAGGCGGGTTTCTTTAGTTTGTCATTAGCTTCGGCGCACGTTTGAAATTTGAAATTTCRAGTTTGAAATTTGACCTTGGTCTTAGAGCACAGCTGAGGGACGGACCATTAGATAGTTGATGGGGGTTGCGTAATCCCCAAAAAATATCGAGCAAGCACTTTTGCTATAAGAAAAATATCTAACGGTAAGCAAAAAAATAACGTGCAAGGGTTGATCCAAAGAAATAAATATCATGCAACCTAAATTCCTGCAACCCCCTATCATTCATCTAATGGTCCATACCTTATCTCATAGTACCTGTGCATGCTAATGACATAAGATCTTTTAATTCATTCATTTAGTGATCATTTAGATCAATTTGATCATCCACACCAACAGCGGTGTATTTTCGACTATGAAAATGCTTACAAATATATTGCATACAGAATTTTATAACATTGCTTGTTTGCATTTCAGGCCATGACTAAAGTATACAGCAAATGTTACGAGGAAATCGGTGCTTTTAATGACACTCGTTACATCATTGGCATGTTGGAAAAGGTAAAAGTCTAAAAAAATTAATAGTCTTAGATTATCGAATGGGATTAATTTTTTGGCAGATCTAGAAAGTTTTCATTCCCCTTATTACCGTATGTCGAAAAAATCAACTTTTAAATTCCAATTGGAATTCAGTGGATGAAAACCCACTCTGTGAAAATGCCATTCTGCTAAATCTCATTATTTAGGAGCAGGCGTAGCACAGTTGGTTAATGCGCGGCCTTCAGAGCTGGAGGTCCATAGTTCGATCCTCAGGAACTCCACGTCTGTTTCGACTTCTCTCTGTTCTGTGTAGCTTTAATYAACTTAATACCCCGTARAAAGGAGCACTGATAGTAACAGGGGGTAGAGGTGAACATGAGCCCCTGGCTCGCGAGAATTGGGCAACCACTCCCCGCGTAATCGAAGTACCTTTACCTTTCTTATTAATTATCATTACTTCTTGATCCACTACTCACAGAATCCTTCTCGTAGTTCCTCTAATCACAAGGCGTAATTTTACCTTTACGGCAAGATATTCATGTCTGCAGTACGGCTGCAATACGACCACATACATGCTGTATCGTAGTATGCACTCACACAAAAACCGCTCTACGATTATTTATTAGAATATTATTAGTCAGTATTAATTATCTGTTTCTTCAGGCCAGTGATAAGCTAGAGAGAGATCGTCTTCTCTTGTTCATCAACGCTCTCATCAAGAACAAGGTATACCATAAGCACGTCTGTATACACAGCATATTATGGTAATCTTTTGAAAGGCCTTTATTAGGCTTAATTGATGCTGTTTTCATTTTATGACACTCAAGGGTAGGGAAGGGGAAGAAGGAAAGAAAGAGGGTGGTGGGGGGGGGGGGGGGGGGGGGGTAGTGGGAGACAGGAAGGTTTTTGTCCTTGTGAGCGGTGAACGTGGCGCGAAAAGCATGAGTGGACAAAATGACCGGCCCTAAGCATTTTTAGAGCTTGAAAGAACGAAGCAAACGTAGCAGTAAAGTGAAATTGTTTTTATTCTTCCTTTCCGTATTTCTGGTTCTTGTCGACACGTATATAATTAATTTAGTCCCAAGAAAACAGAAAAATACGCAAAAGTTGGGTTACAACCTGGGAATGAGGGCTGGCGGCAAAACAGCTGAACGCGCTGTGATTGGCAGAAATAAATAAATAAATATACAGTTGTCAAGTAGAATGTCACATGATCTGGGAAGAAAAAAAATATGGAAAACATTTTTGATGTTTTTTTTTTAAAGTTTAATTTAATTTTTTTGGGTATTTGTTTTGCAGCGTAACGTAAAAGAGATACTAGATGTGAATGGCGTGCGTACACTKGTAGATCTCATTACCTTGGCTCATCTACACACAACAAGAGCTAAAGTACCAATGCAGGTGAGCCATTATTAACTGAGAAAGTATTATTTCAACAAAAGTTGTTTTTATTTTAAAAAAATAGCTGTCAAAGGGGAAGGCTGACTGAAGCCTTCTTTTGGGGGGGGGGGGGGGGGGGGCGTCCTCTCATTTGATTCTGGACTCGGCATCTAATGTGAGTAGGCACAGTTTTTTTGGACAGACTCTTTATATGTAGGACGGTAAAGGACTTCTTTATTTTCCTCCTTTATTTTTTGACTTGTTGTTTAGTAATCCGTGCGTGCGTGCGGATGACGTCAGGATACGCATGCTGATACTGAGAAAATTTTGCCCACTCAAATGGCCAATCAGAATGCCGCACGATTATGAGAATATGTAAGAATATGACTTTTTCGTTGCTTAGACAACCATGATTGAGGCATCACCAGACTCAGCATTTGACAGTGAAAAGGAATGGTACTATGGCAACAAAGAGAAGGAAAGACTAGGGCCTTTTGGCTTCCCTGAAGTAAGTATACAGTAAACATGATAAAAGGGTAAATTATACACCGTGAAAAGATGAAAAAACGTTTCGGACGCTAATCCTTCGTTGGAAAAATAGAGAAAGAGGTGGTAGAAAGGAGTGTTTATATAATGAGAATAAGGCAAAAGAAACCAATGAGAACAAGGTGGGCAAGGAAACGAAAGAAACAATCAAAAGACAAAAGAGTGGGCTAGTCAAAAGCAAAGCGTTCATTAATCCGTTCATTATGTAAATATAGTGGTGGATCCACTACAATTTCAAGGGGTGTCCTTGTTATCTAGAAATGGATCATACACTGTCCTCTTGAGATTTTACCTTATTCTTTATAGCTGGTTTTCAATCATTCCCAAGAGAATGAAATAACAAAAGACACGGCGACCATGTTGGATGATATAACAAAAAGAGACTAATGACAAATCTTTAGTTAAATTCATCCAACATGGCGGCTGTGAAAGCCATCATTTCCTATTATTTTCAAAACTTCAAATGGGTAGCCAGCCACCCAATCCATACCATCCTTGAAGTAACAAATGATGGCACAAGTCTTAAACTCAAACTCTTTTATAAGCCGTCAACCTTTGAAAATTGAGTGCCCACTGTTGAGAGGTTAGTCAATCTTTTACCCAGAGCTTGCGTTCCTTCTGGCTTGCGGCGAAGAACGAGGGCTCTGGCATAATCCATTTTTTCGAGATCAGGATTTCTTGGACTTCCGATATAACAGCGCACGCGTTCAAAGACTTGCCAAAAATTAAAAACATTTCCCCCCCGATTTTTAAATTTGTACTATGATCTTTAATTTGATCTTAGTTTGGTTTTAACTTTGATTTACTTTTTACTTTGATTATTTTAATCGGTTACATCTCACTTTCCGAAAATCGCGCATGCGCCAAAATGTAGATTATGCCAGAGCCCTCCTTCTTCGCCGAAGGCCAGAAGAAACGCAGGCTCTGTGTACGAGATTGGAGGTAAGTCATAAAATTCCTCATTTTCTTTGAATCATTTGCAGATGAAACAAATGTGGGAAGAAGGGATTCTTCGTCCAGAGACCAAGTGCTGGGCACAAGGGATGGATGGCTGGAGACCTCTTGCAACGATACCTCAACTGAAATGGTACCTGATAGCCACAGGGAGCCCAATCCTTAATGAGACAGACATGTGTGTGCTGGTTCTCAATATGCTTATCAAGATGTCTGAGTTTTATCCTAACAGGTAATTGATAATATGACACTATCCATATGAAACAATGTCCGCGCACAAAAATGAGAAGCACAGTGTGGCGTAGAGGTGAGTACATTCGTCTTTCACCGATGCTACCTGGGTTTTGATTCCCGCCGTGGTCTGTGTCGTATGTGAGTAGAGCTGTTTGCTGGTTCTCTCCTGTGCTTCGAGGGTTTTTCTCCGGGTTCTCCGGTTTTCCTCCCTCCACAAAAAAGAGCTCCTAAATTTCAATCCGATCATGGAACGAGGGCCACCATCGTAAAAACAAGGACGTTTAATTTGTTTATAATTTTCCAGTCGGTTTCCAGTCCATATGACAATAGATATACTTGTGCTACTGATTTGATCAGGATCAATAGGCTCCACTACCTTGTTATCAGTAACAACGCCATTTATATTAAAATTCTTTATTTCCTCAAACGTCGAGGGATATAGATATTTCTATTGATAATGCGATAAAAGGCTCTGTGCCATCATCCCAAGTACCCCGAATTTACCCAGAGAAAAATGTGTAGTTATTGATATACCATGTATTCTGCAGGGATTCAGATGGAGCTATTGTACGCCCTCTTCCACGTGTAAAGAGAATGCTCTCCGAAGCTTCTTGTCTGCCACATGTCGTTCAGGTAAAAATTAAACTGATAAMTTTTGTTCATCAATAGAATTTATACCGTGGTTCAGTTCACGGAATCAATAGCCCGTTTGCATGATGGTCATTTTACTACCACTACCGAAATGCTTGGCGAATGTTTTTTCTTATTCAAATTTGTATTTCCTCATGGGAATATTAAGACAATTGCTGCTGATTAACTGAACTAAAGAAAGTGTTTAAACTTAGAACTATCATTAGTTATGCCTAAACAAGAGCCTATCATTATTCTGCGTCCTGACTACGGAAATGGCGTCGTAATAATTGATCGTAAAGAAAGTGTCCAAGGGATTCTGTGTTGGTAGTAAATGACGCCATAGTCTGCTACCAACCCAAAGTCTAGATCCCACTATGGTCAGTCATAGACCTCACCAAGGGCGGATCTAGGGGGGGGGGGGGGGCTGAAGCCCCCCTTCAGCAGAAAAAAACGATGCTTTTTTATATTGTTTTCCGTTGTGTTGACGGAAGAAACTCAATTAGCCCCCCCCCCCCTAAACTCAATTAGGCCCCCCTAAATTTTTTTCTGGATCCGCCCTTGCTCACGAAACAAACTCACTGGGGTATGCTAGTCGTTGGTGTCGGAGTGCAAAGGAGCACGAGGCGGACAGCATAGGATACAAAGTGAATAGAAGGGACCTTGAAATAGTCGAAATAGGTTCCTTCCATTAAAAACAGTGTCATGGTAACACTTTGATTGACATTCACTTAAAACTACTTTGTCCTGACAACGATCCACTCACTCCCATCCCCACCCATCGCCGTATTATTCTGAGCTAGTGTTATAAAAGCAATATTGCACCAGATACATAAAAGTGTTGTTGTTGTTAAGGAGCTTTATAAGAAAATATTTTAAATTCTTAGATGTAGTATTTTAATGGTTGTTTTTTCTTTATTGTAGCTGTTGCTGACTTTTGATCCAGTCATTGTCGAGAAGGTGTCTGTTCTTCTGGTTGAAGTCATGGTGGTACGTAAGATACAGTTGACACTTTGCATGTCATTATTTAAAGACTGCGTCTTCAATGAGCAGTACGGAAATACCGCATGTATTCCATTCTCGTTGCTTCTACTGCGCGTGTACAGTAGAATCCCGGTTATCTCATCCTCCGTAACCCAGGGGGGAAATTCTCGATGTTTCTAGTGGTCTGTTACACATGGACGACATACTCAGCCAGTGTGTGTGGTTTTTTTTTTGTCACCAGGATAATCCCATCATGCCTCGTTTGTACCTGACTGGTGTGTTTTTCTTCATCATGATGTACACTGGATCCAACGTGATTCCTATAGGCAGGTGAGTTCATGTAACCTTCTGTAACCTTGAGGTACTTACCATTTAGACCGATCCATCCAGTTTGAAATTTATTTGCTATTGGTAAGAAAAGAGAGGGAAACTTTGACACACGCGTCTACCGGAAGAACCGAAAAGAGCGCGAAAACCGGATTTCCTCTATCGGAAGTTCAAGTTTTCCGGAAACTTTCCGAAAATCGACCCTGAACTCTATGTATTCATAGTTTTCATGAGTTATAACGTCGGGTGATTTCTATAGGCAGGTCGGAAGAGGTCGGAAAGTTTTGGAGAACTCAATTTTCCAATTTAAATATTCCAGAAAAGAGCGGGAAACTTTGACTTCCGACAAATGGTACACGCGTCTACCAGAAGAACCAAAAAGGGCACGAAAAATGGATTACCTCTATCGCAAGAACGAGCTTTCCGGAACTTACTAAAAACCGCCCTTTCTGTGTATTTATAGTATAAATATGAGTGATAACTGTTTTGTTTGTCAGGTTCCTACAAGAGACTCACATTAAGCAAGCATTTAGAACAGACGAGGTAATTAAAGCGTTTGATTGACTCTTCGTTTTTATCGATTCGATTTTTCCATTATCTGTTCATCCAACACCCATTCATCTCTGCAAAACTCTACTTTTAAATTAATTATTGGTGTCGAAATCTCTTAAGCAAAAAAAGGTTACTTTTAAAAACGCTACCAATTGTTCCCTGCTCTTTGACAAAAAATAAGTTTTAATTTAGAATTAAAAAAAGAATTTATTTTTTCTTGGATCATGCTATCCACACTCCACCCCCTCCTTCGTTTATACTATTTTACTCCTTACGTTACCAGGTTTCATTCGTATTGCTTACTATCAATCACGTGACTTTTTGGGGTTGACTGGGGGGCAACTAGCAGATGTTAAGTCAAAACATATCAAAATAAGTCCTCAAACTATTGTATTTGACTATTTTCGCGACATGAAACCAGAAAACAAGAGATCAAAACAACCTCCAGGATTCTACAAGGCATTAAAAACACAGCTATTACCGGAAGTGACTATTGATAACAACCTATTTAATTATAATCATTCTTATTCTTGTCACATTGCTTTTAGTCTGAAAAACCAGAACTAGTCCAACGTAGTGTCCTCGGTAATATCTTACCAGAAGCAATGGTCTGCTATCTTGAAAATTATGGTAAGCGAAACTTTATTGCTCAGAGTGCATATCTTGATTCCACGACTATAATCTAATCTATTTTTATGTTTATTAGGACCCGATAAGTTTGCTGAGATATTCCTGGGTGAATTTGATTCACCTGAAGCCATCTGGAATTCAGAAATGAGGTACTTGAGCAGAAAAACAGATTTTAAACAAAAAATTGTCAAACCCCGAAAAAAACGTCTGGGCTGTTTCTCTCATGTCGGAATGAAGCTCAATTTGAAAGCATAACAAAAGGTTTTCAATTCTCAGGAGATTGAAATTCTTTTGTTTTGTCTCCCTAATTGAGCTCCTTTGACGTCACATGCAAGAGTTCTATAGGATAGGTATATACATAATTTTAATTGTTTTTGCAGACGTTTAATGATTGAAAAGATTGCCACCCATCTTGCAGACTACACCCCACGTCTGCGTAGCAATACACGAGCGTTATACCAGGTGAGTAAAAAGGCTGGTGTTTCTATATGTACTGATGGGTTGCAAGCATTCCCAAGAGAGTTAATAGACAAAAACATGGCGTCCATTGTGGTACCGTTAAAGTTCTACTCTGACGAAAATCGCTCAAACTTGGATTCAGCTGAAACTTCCTAAGAATACTCTTTAAAGGTCCAATAATCACTGTATRAAGTGTTCTCTCGATATTCAGGACGAAAGTATGATATTTTTACGGTTGTTTTTTGGAGTCTGTGACGTCATGAACTCAACATCGAACAAAAAAAATCATAAAACACTTCATACAGTGATTATTGGACCTTTAAGGAGTATTCTTAGGAAGTTTCAGCTGAATCCAAGTTTGAGCGATTTTCGTCAGGGTACCACTTTAACAATGGATGCTAATGAGAAATCTTTTGTTAAATGGTACCAACATGGCCGCGATGACGTAACGTGCAAACGATGAACTAGCCTTCTTCGCAGGTAACTCTCGCATAAGCTGCGGATGGGGTCCCTGTGGACATTTCGAAATAAGGATAGGGTTCCCAATTTCTTTCCTCATAATACACTAACAAAATTACTCGATTCCGATTGGACAAGAGAAGTACAATTAAATCGTTTATCGTACAATGTAGAGTCCCAATTAAGTTGCTCAATTTTGTTGAATGTATTATAAACAAAAAAATCGCACGATCTTCTCGTACATTTCGGAATCGATAAATACCCGTAATGTTTTGAAAAGTTCTCGAGATAGTACGATTCCCTAAACTAATTTCTTTTTCTGTGAGTTGCTTGCGGAGGAAGCTAGTTTGTTTGTTCATTCATTTTTTCATTTCTCTTTTCAGTACTGCCCAATTCCCGCCATTTCCTATCCACAACTGGAGAACGAGCTCTTCTGTAACATCTATTATTTACGTCATTTATGCGACACTCAGAAGTTCCCAGACTGGCCAATCAAGGATCCTGTAAGTATGAGCTAATCAGGTATTACGTATTAGAGAGAGACTAACCAAGCATAAGCTAGCAATCCCAATGTGAGAATCACTTAACATATACGTTTTCATTCGTCACAGTAAACGCATACTTTTGTAAACGAATCCTGTCTGTCCACACGTAAACGATCATCGTTTACGAATCGTTTTCGCCCGTCCACACTTAAGATTGTGCGTACCCATGTGACTCAAAATCCCTTGAGATATAAATAACAATGAAACAGCCGCCATCTTGGTTGATCTAACAAGAGAAGCTAATGAGGAATGCTTTGTTATCGTC